GTCCTAATTGTAAAAATAACTTGCTGAGGACAGCCAGAGCTGGACAGAAGGGTCGGATTTGAGATGTTCTTTTAGTTCTTTTTTAAAAGGTCAGATAAGGAAAATTTTGCTTAAGTACATATAGGAGAATTCTTTTCTTTTTCAAGAGAAGGGTATTGATTTTGAGCATAGTGGTCATGCTTCATAAAAGCAGTAGACAGCCTTCAGTCTTCTTGTGGGCCTGACTCATACTCCGGACTGTGAGGTCTCTTTTAAGATCTTGTGTGCTGAAGTCATACACTGCAATTTCTTGTGCAATGTTAGTTTCTCTGTGTTTCTGCATCTAACCAGTCCTCAACCTGGTGTTTTTCACTATTGCATACATGTCTGGGATTATACCACTGGCTATTCACTTCAGTATTTCTAGGACGTGGCATTCACTGTACATTTAATGGAATATGTTCCTGTGGTACCTTTATTTTATTTGTATCCAGATAGGTCAAGAAAAATTAAATGCACACTATGAACTGTTTAACCATTGAATTATTCAGACACTTTTGTCAAGCAGACAGAGTAAATACAGACTGAAATAAGTCTGGCTATCCTTTATTTTCTTAACCTGCTATACATTTTTGTTGAAGGGCAGAATACTTTGGCCACACAGTAAGGTAAACTAATAAAAACTGAAATATAGGCTGTGTTGATCAGTGAATTGGCTCCAAAATGTAGTTTCAGTGCTGTTGCTTCTTCATTAAAATAATTAATGTTTTTTTTTCACTTCTGTGAACAGCACATTTTTCAGCCTGTTTTTTTTACATGTTTTCTCCCTCTTCTGCCAGAACGGAGTCATGTCTGGACTGATGCAAATGCTGCTTCTGAAGGTTTCTGCTCACATCACAGAACAGCTGGGAATGGCCCCAGGAGGAGAATTCAGGGAGGCTTTCAAAGAGGTGCGAACTTGAAATGGCTTTTCTGAGGTCAGATTACTGGCCTTTTGCTTCCAGAGTTGAACTCAATAAAACCCTTTAGTTATTGCCTAGAAAAGAGCACTCTGGCCATACCTCTGCTGAAGCCAATGAATAGTAAAAATCATGTTTGACTTCAGACTGTACCTTAAGGTACAAACATTTGTAGACATAAGTGGTTGGAAAGCAATTCAAAAAAAGACTTTAAATAAGGCTTTTTCCTGATGATATTTGTGAAGACATTTGTTTTCATTAATAATTTCGCTTCTTTTAAATAATTGTTTTTGAATTCTGAATATTGATCTTGGTCCTACTGTTGGTGGCGTCAGGATTTCAGGTTGTGAAAACCAGCTCTAAAGGATTAAGGAGATCTGACACCTTCCATTCATCTACAAAGACTGGGGAAGTGAAATATCTGACTGGTCTGTTAGTCCTATATAGTCTTTTAATGTCACCTTTTGTACTACTGCCAGTAGTGATACTGAATTAAATAGTGGCTGTGTTTTGCACTACTCTTTTTTGTCTGGGAATACTGGGACACTATTTTCTGTGTAAGCATCCATCTTGCAGAATGTATCTTGCTATTTTTATGTAAATTATGTACTAGTAAAGAAATCCAAGACACATTGCTGATAAACAATCTGGAATAATTTGGCTATATTTATCCTTAATAAAAAGAAAACTTCTTCAAGGTTTATTTTCTTGAGCATTCTTGACCAGAATGAAACATTTTAAGTGTTTCCCATTTTAAGTGGGAAAGGAAAACTACTAGCTCTGTCCTGTTCTAAAGCAATTACTGGAAATTTTTAAACAACTAAGCACAGAAAAGAATTTTCTAGAAATTCTGTACTGTGCTAAAATTTGTCAGTGTGAGCTACAGCCAAGTCTGACATTATCACATGATATCTGGCATCAGTTATTGTCTCATAAGCTCTTTCTTTAATATATTTTACCATGACCAACTGTAAGGTTGATGATCCTGTCAAATCCTAGGTGAAAGCAAAATGATGGCAGTTGGTTCACCTCAGACTTTATTCAGGCCCACATAGACGCTGAGCCCCATTATCACCTTACGTAGTAATAATCAGAAGCTTTGTGCTTCTGTACAAGTAACCTCGAGGGTGTGGCATTGCAATTTAATGGTTTTACTGTAATATCTACTGCATTTTATAGTGGATTTATTCCTTTATGAAGTAATCCAGTAGTATATTGTAAATTCTATTTACTGCAAAGCCAAAATATTTTTTTTGTTGAAGTATGACACTACTTGCTCTTCTTTAAGATACCTTGTATAACACAGTAAATCCTTAACGTTCCTTAATAAGAATGTGCTGTGCTGCAGTATGAAATGTTGAGTAGTTATTTGTATCTTCTTTTTCAGGCCAGTAAAGTACCTTTCTGTAAATTCCACCTTGGTGACCGGCCCATCCCTGTTACATTTAAGAGAGCAATTGCTGCACTTTCCTTCTGGCAAAAAGTCAAGCTTGCTTGGGGCCTTTGCTTCTTATCTGACCCCATCAGGTATGAATCAGCACACCACATGTTTTATGTTTGGGATGGATTATTCAATTCTTCAGTTTGACTTTAGTATGAGGGTACCCAGCCTGATACAATGAAATATGAATGAAGGATGAATATACAACTATCCTGCAATAATACGTATTTTTGAAGTGAAAGCTGTCTTTCTGATCTTGTGTCAGGCCTTCCTTTGTCTTTCAGTGCATTCCTTCCAGATGAAGTGTAAGATTTGGTGTTGAAGAATTCCTGGTATACTTTAAAAATGTCTTTAAATTATTATTTCATTATTTTTGTGCAGAATATCTTTCCCACCACTGTGTGTGGATATTGTAAATACAAGAGGGTAAAGGCCTCAGTACAATAATTTGTATATTCTTGAGTTCCACATCCAGCCATCAACATGAGATTCCATGGAGAATGGAGTAAAAATTCAACATCAAAATTGTCAGTCTGTTGATGTTTCTGTGTCTGTGTTGAAAGCTAGCGTTTCTCTTTTAGCTTGCCCTGATGTTTGTAGTCTTCTTTTCATCTTGGAAACTAAAGGAAGCCTGTTTGACACCATTCTTTAATAGACAGTGATGTCACACAGATAATTTCATTGTGACAGGCTACAACCCACAACTAGGGGTGCTAACAGAAGGGTTTATAGCACCTATGAAAAGAGTAAAAGCTCATTAAACTTACTTCTGCAGTTCTTATTTGGCATTTCCTGCCCATTTTCTATTTTTCTGTTCTGCAAATTGGTTTATAACTTTGACATCCCTGCTAAAGACCTGTGATTGACACTAGGAACCTGCAAGTCTTTGTCCATGCCCTCAGACTGTGCATTACAGTGTGCCTTTTTGGTTCCTTAAGTAGAGTCTCTGTGTGTTCAGATCTGCTTCCTCAGAAGAGCTGTGTGTAGGCTCTTCTAAGCTTATTAATGCATACTGAAAATGGGGCACCATGGTAACTCCTGCCTTTGAAGCCCTAGTGGTTTTGCTGAGTTGAGTTGTCAGCTTTTACAGTGGGAAAGGAGAAAATCTAGTTGAACTGGCTAAAGGCAAGTGACCTCTTTTCTTTCCCTTTCCTTCACTGCAGAGGCATTGTTAGGTATCAAGTTCAACAGGTTTATGGAGATTATTTTCCTTCTGGTGAGGAAAACTGGGGAAGATAACTGTAGACTGTTCAGGTGTAATGCCCAATTGTTTTGAGCCATTAGTTTGTTTGTGTTGACCTTTAAAAGTGTAACAGTTACTGAGAAAACCTACCTTTCTTTCAGTAAAGATGATGTGGAGAAATGCAAACAGAAGGATTTACTGGAACAGATGATGGCAGAAATGATTGGAGAATTCCCTGATCTTCATCGAACGATTGTCTCTGAACGAGATATTTACTTGACCTACATGCTGAAGCAAGCAGCAAAGCAGATAGAACTACCTCGAGCTTCAGAAAGTAATTGTTTTAAAGCAGAGATTTTAACCAGCAAGATGTTCTTTGTGTACTGGTCCAAAGTTCAGTTCTCAGGAAATCTGGGATGTTCTGTTCATGAATGCTACATGTCACATAAGATACAATGCTTAAAGAAATTAAGAAGGGATATTACTCCTCTGTTAAAACAACCTAGAGCAGTAAACTCTAAATTATGTTTCTTTTCTCATTGTGTTGTTCAGAACTGTTAAGTACTAATTAGCCAGAAAGCTATTTCAAAAGGCAGGGATCTGGTATGACAGCACAGTATGGGACAGTCATCTATCTTGCTTGCCCTGTTGTCTCACCAAATTCATTGTTGTCACTGGCTGCTGAAGGATTCATTTCTTGATAAGTTAATTCTCTGATTTCAGTACTCTTCATAGACTTTTTTTATAATTACAAATTGGGCTGCTAGGAACTTTGATCTGGCAGTAATAATCATATGTGACTGCTGTTTCAGCAAGGTATAGGCATATAGAAAAATAGTATTTGTCTAATCTTTGAAGTATTCTGCTGCCATATGTAATCAACATGCCCTTCCTATAGATAAGCATACTGAAGTATGTTACCTCTTACTTAATATCTTAAGAAGATAGTGTTTGTCATCACTGTAGTGCAGATCTGTTGTAGTTGCAGTTCTGCTTTAGAGTAATTCTAGAACAGACTGAGAAAAAGAAAATTTAGAAAAAAACTGTTTGGTAAATATGTATGATAATTCAAGTGTTTTCAATACAATTTTATTCCATTTTGAAGTAGGCTGCTCTTCACATGTTTACTTTTTTTTCTGGAAAAATCAAGGGTGAATATTTAAAGCAAAACAGTGTAAATTGTATTTTATATTTATGTATTATGTAGAATCTTCCACATAGGAAGGCAGCCTGATTATTATTCCTTAGAAAATTTTTCTGAGTTAGTTTTATTATGGCATGGTGCTGTATTTTTCAGTGGGGAAAACTTCCAGAAACCACATTTTGGATGTTGTGAAATATGGGTGGTAGATGGGAGGTGAGGGTGAGAGCTGGCACATGTTGCATTGGTCTGATGGTTGCTGGCTAACTGGCCTGGGTTTGCTGTTGCTGAGGCCAGGTCTCTAACAGTGAGCTTTAGAGAGCAGGTGTGATCTCAAGCATTGTTCTCCGATTGTGAGCCCAAATCTTGGTACACTTTGTGTGCCAGGTGCCACTGTGCAAAGTGGTGGAGAAAGTTCTCTGTTCAGGAGCTGGCAAAGAGCAGGAGTGTTCCTCATAAGCAGCACAGAAACATGACCTACACAGAAAAGAAGTTAATTTAGCTTGCTGAGCCTGTCATCCTGAGGCTGAAGTATTAGCACCGCCAGGTCTATTTATTAAATAAATGATTCCTGAAAATCTGGAAACCATGCTGATTTTTTCTGACTTTCAATGAAAGAGGCAGTAGGTGAGATCAGTATGCAACAACAGGGTTTCAGTATGTGGTAGTAAAAGCCCCTGTATCTTGGAAAAATCAATTTTGTAGTCTCACAGATTGGCTATTATTTATAGCTTGAAATTAGTTCTTTTACAGATATGTTCCTTTCTCTTCATTCTCTTTTCTTAGATGAACCTAGAAAATATATCCCATCTGTTGTAGTTGGTGTTGTTGGCATGGGTCATGTACCTGGGATTGAAAAGAACTGGAATTCTGATTTAAAGATCCAGGAAATAATGAGGTAACAGTTGTGCTTTACTACATGTTGCTGTAACAGCTTCTTTTGCTAAAAAACAGCAGTATTTTTGGAGTTTTCTTGGTTGATTGTCGCAGCTTGAAGAAGCATCTCTGCTGTCATCCTGCCCTGTCAGCTCGCTGACTTGTTGTGCAGTGCTTGCAGATAGTGCTGACTGCAAATAAAAAAATCAAAGGAAAAAATAAATGGTTGAATATGGAGGGAAGTAGAGATGAAAATATGCCCTTGTCTAGAAAGAAAATTAATTGGTCCTCATTTAAGTCTTCTAAAATGAAAACTCAAATGAGGGCTGTTGAAGAAGGTAAAAACAGAACAAGGCTTTTAGTCTAACTTAGGTAAATATAAATAATTTGATGTAAAGCTTTTGTTTTGTCAGGACACTGCTGGCTCTGTCAAGCTTAGTGTCACAGTTGCTTATATGCTATTTTAAGTGTATATCTAAGTAATGACTTTTTAAAATGTGTATATCTGACGAATTATGAACTGGTTTAAGCCATTTACCTTGTGAACTCTTGCTTTGAAGTACCTATTGAAATAGATGTATATGCTTTGTAAAAGACAGAACTAAAGAACCAAAGCATTTAGACTATGTGTATCCCATAAAGCCAAAAAGGTCAGGACTTCAGAAATACAGGAGAGATTATAATACAGTCTAGTAGTATTGGTCTGCGATACTTTAGGATTATGGAGTCTTTCAAATATTCACACTTTCCTATCACATCTGTTTATTGTGCTTATGTAACCACCTCACCCATCTTTTCAGAGGCTATGAAAACCCGAAAAGACTAACGTCCACATAAATGGTATATTTAGACATCAAAAATATGATTTAGAGAGACTTCTGTTGTCTGGATTCAAGAATGCAAAGATCTGCCTAGCCATTTGTAACTATCTTTTAAGGCTAAGCGTCACCTGGCATCACAAACTAGATGTCCATTTTCCTCTGCACCCTTGCAGATAACCTGTGTAGTTGTATGGTGGCTGTTGGTCACATCATTGGCAGCACAGAACTGAATAGCCCAAGCACCAAGTGCATGTCTTCAAGCCTGCATGGAAGGCTGATTTGACTTGATTGTCTTTCCCATGCCAGTGCCATAACTGAGCAGAAGAGTTACTAGTATCTTTCACAAGACATTAATATTGCATTGACTTGATTTTCTGAAATAATATTAAGCAAGTGGCACTCATAAGAGTGCTATATTTGCAACTTATTTTTCTTTAAAATTTTTTGCCCTTCCTGCTGTTACACTGCAGTTGCAGAGCAGAGTTAGGGCTTTCTTTTGTGTGTTTAGTGTTCATCACCACTCTAAGGTGGCAAGTTTTTAAGACTTTCACAAGTATTTAATTAAATTTTAGAAGTTGCAACGTGAACTTGAAAATTTTCTGGATAAAAACATACATATGTTTCTAATTTTTAAGTTTATGCATTGAACTTGACTGCAAGCAGACCTTACTGTCTGCCACAGAATATTTTGAGTTGGAAGGGATGTAGAAGGATCGAGTCCAACTCCTAAGTGAATGGCCCATATAGGGATTGAGCCCATGACCTGGGCATTATTAGCACTGTGCTCTGATCAACTGTTATTAATTTTTTTTTTTTTAATTGTGGTGAAATATTAGAGTTGAGTAAGAGTAGGTGGAGAAAGGTGTAAGAACATGTAAAGAGATGCCTTTATACCATTCTTGGATCAATACATATGCTTTTTTAAAACTCTCCTGTATATGGCTGTAATGTGCAAAGTCTTACTAGTAATAACTTTTCCCTAGTTTGAACACATGGATTTAAACTCAGTCTAGTTGTATCCTAATTTCAGCACATTTAACCTGCTTGAGAGCACCCAGTGGTTTTGCACTATTGTAACTGATTACTTCTGAATACATTAGAGACTTTTTCTGGATATAAATAAATGATAAGTTGAAGCTCCTTTGAAACAGTGTATGGAAACTTCCGAGTTGCTTATGAGAGGATTATGAGGTGCTGTGGGTGTAGAGCCAGCTGAGCTGCTGCAGAGCCTGTTAGTGAGGGTGTAGGGCTGCACGTGGATGTGGCTGTGCTCTCAAAGTCAGCTTTATTGGGAAGGTAATATTTACTGCTTGCTTGATATGCCCACAGTGAGACTGCTTGAATGTTGGGCAGTAGACCTGGTGTGCCTGTTGTCTTCTGCTGTCCTGGTTCAGGTGGCCAGTGCAGAGACTTCCAAGCAGCTCTGTGAAAAGCTCAATATTCTATTTTAGTATTCTTCAAAAAAGTCTGAATATTGACTTAGTTATTTTGTCAGGGTGATGGACAAGTAAAAGTTCCTAGCTGTTAAGAGTGGCATAAGTAGAAAAGGCTTTGTTAGTGTTTATTAATTTTTGTTATTTAATTGTATGTAACCCTTGAACATGAAAGAATATATTGTTCATTCATGATGCATCTGTTACCTGAAAATTTCCTGCACTATGGGGACGAAGGGGAGAAAAGATTTGATTTTTTTTTTAATTGGAAAATTCCTACTGTTTCCAGCAATACAAATATTAATATTGTTTTCTATGTTTTGTTTCAGTGTGCCTCCTCCATCAGCTTCAAGTAAGATTTTCAAATTTGTTTTAAAAGCAACATTTTTTGGACTGTTGGGATATGGCTGCTACCGAATAGGTCACAGGACAGTTGAGTTTGTTCTCTCAATGCCAGCAACACAGAGCTATCTTCAGAGGCTGACAGAGGTGCCTCAGCAGTGAACAACAACAAGTAGAGGCTCTGTGTGAAGAAGGTGGCAGAGGAAAAGGTGATGGAGGCAGCGCATGAACTGAGCTGAAGAATGAGGATTCTAGTCAGAGCTGATCGATGCTGAGCAACACTCAATCACTCTATAATAAAAGATTTGATACTAAAGTTACACCAGCTATGATCTAAGTAATAGTTTTGATTCTTGACAGGTGTGTTGCATGAAACCAGATGATTCCAGTTTGAGGTAAAAGAAATGTGTATGCAAATATATATATATTATATATGCATACTATATACATGTATACTATATATATGCATTATATATAATATATATATATATACACATATATATAAAATTGATGATGTAGTACAGGCAGTTTAAAGACTGTTTGTTCATGGCTCCTTTTCCAGAGAAAAGAACAACACAAAGTAACCTAATTGACTACATCTCCTCTGAAGTTCAGGGACACTTGAGTGATTCTTTGCTTTCTTTCTTAGGTATAATAATACCAAGTGTTTGTTTCTGGTGCCAGACACTTTTACACATAATTTAAAAGGACATCTTGTCAATGTATGTTTTATACCTAAAACATTTAGGCTTTTTTTAAACTTAAGAGCTTTCCAGAAATTTCAGAATTGTACAGGCTGTCATACGTACATGGCTCAAATTTTTTACAAGCCTTACAGAAGAACAGGAATGTTGCCTTTAGATTGCATCCCTTGTTACCACCTTCAGTTGAATTGTTTTTCTCCTGCATAGAGAAGGTATAGCCACCCCATCAGAATGCAATGTGGTTTGTGTCAGATGTTTACAGGACACTCTGTTCCTTTAGATTAGCTTATTTAAACTATACTAATTAGCCAAATTCTGCTGGTTCCAGTATTGTAAATTTAAGAGACTAGAACTACTGTACAATTTACTTTTGTTTTTCAGACCTTTCATATTTGGCATAAAAAGCCTGGAATTAACCTGCCCCTTGTTTTTGCTACATGAAAATATTTTATTTATCAATGTAATTTCTCGGTGGATGAATATTTTAATCTATTTAATAGGAAAGCAGTGTTTAATTTAGTTTTTCAACCAAATGTAGCATTTTATTTGGATTACCTGATATTTATACATAGAATTAGGGGTACTACAGACTGCTGTTACTTTTTTTTTTAATTATCTGGAACACTCATCCATCTTCAATCTATTTATTTCTTTTTTTGTTTGTTTGGGGTTTTTTTTTAATCCAAGGTTCATATTTCATTGGAGTTTTTTGGTACCTTCCCTTTTTACAGGATTGTCAGTGATTGTAAAATGCCCTTGGCAATCAGCTAGTCCTAGTTCAACAACACAGATAACACTGTCATATCGAAGTTAACCCGATGTATTTGAATGGGGAAGTCCTATTTGCTCCTCAGGCTCATATACAGTTGCTTATTGCTTAAAGTGAGATTTTTATCTGTATTTATTTTGGGAATGAAAGATGGGAACCAGTATGTGAGGCAGGAGGAGGAAAAGGTGATGATGTGTTTTGTGTTTCTTTGTGGTTTTTCAGTTGGTTCAATAAAATCCTGAAACCACTTTTAATAGGGTATATTTCCAAAGGCTTGTGTTGGAAATAGTTCCATACAGTCTTTTATTTGCTAAAACTATGTACATCTATCTTCTGTACAGTGTAGTCTTTTTTGAGCTTTTAAAATTAAGGTTCTGATGCTCCTCTCTTTGATGACACTGACTTTGCTGGGAGCTGGTCTGTCCATGCAACCTGATGCTTTTCTGCCTTGCTCTTTGAAAATTGTATGAGTTCCAGTGCAGCAAATTATTAAACTGCATGTTTATCTTAAACCTTACTGAATCTAACCTGATTCTGCAGAGGTCTTAAGATGATGCTAGGTGCTCTTCTTGGGCTGGGCCTTACAGGTGTCCAGGGAATAAACCTTAGCAAATGAGAATGACAGCAATTAATGCTTCTAGGACACAAAGTGTAAATGATAATACAGAAAACAGTGGGGGCAGGTCCTTTTATTTTCTATTTATTAGTCATTAAGAAACCACCAGCCATCTCTAGCAAGAGGAGAAGCCGCATTTGTAAACAATTTATAGAAGAGTGACTGCCTAAATTTTGATTCCTGTTTTTTAAAAACATTTAATGTGTTGTTTACAATTAAGCAGTCCTATTTGAATAATTCTATTACATTTTATGTACATTTTTAAAAGATGAAAGCAAAAGCTTAATTTCACTCTTCTCCTGTCTTTACTGACATACCAAAATGTTGTTCTGTTGGTTGTTTTCTTGAGAATATTTAGCTGGTAGAATTAAATATATGGATATTTTGCTTTAAGTTATCTACAGATTTTTAAAGTATCTGCAGGTATTTTAAAAGCTCTGTAGATCTTTGATATCTATGCTCAGGTAATTTTACACAAAGGAAAACAAATCTAAGGTAAATTTTAGATAGGAGCCTTAATCTTGGGTGGGACTAATGCTAAATGATTGTCATGGAGCATTCTTGCAGACTTGATGCTTTATGCTTTTTGGTCAAAAGTGATTACCATCTAAGGTGTCCATTTGTTATTCAGTTATTCCCTCCAGTCACTACCTTAAGTCTGTTATTTCAATTTTTATTTTTTTTTTTTACAAAGCATATCAGCAGGTTCTTCAGAGAGCCTCTTGGAGAATTTGCAATTTATCTTCCCACTGTTACAGATTGGCAGATCATATGCATGCACTGTTTATTCAGTGGCACTGGAAAGTGATGAATTTGCAGACCTAACAATTCTATGAATCCATACACAGATTCTTGATGTTGTGTATTCAATGTGTTGTACTGTTTATAAACATAATCTGTGTTTTAGGTCCATTCTTTTCTGTTCTAGTCAGTCCTTTCAGTGTTAGCAGCATCCTGTAAAATTTAAATATATGTTGAATTGTCCCAGCCCCGCCTCAACCTTATGAAGCCATATTGTATTTTTTTGGTGACATGTACATCTGTTTTATGCATTTGTACATGTGATGTAAATTTGAAGTATTTTTAACAATGTGTGCCTTTAAAGTGATTTAAAGTAAACAGCAGTATGTTCTATTATATAAAAAATAAAATATTTTAACCACCATTTCTGTTGAAGGTATTTATTTTCCTAATTAACCAGTATTTTTATTAAGAGCAAACACTGGTTGGCTAGATCTAGTACAGGATAATTCCTCCATCTAACACATTTTCCTGCTGAACATAAGTTGAACTCTTTACATCCTGATGAGAGGAATCAGAGTGTAATGCTCAAGCAGGGGAACTAGTTTCTCTACCTACCACATGTAACTGGTTAAGAAGAAAAGGATGAATGTGAGAACTTAAATTCAGAGTTCATAGTTAGGTGTGGTGAGTTGATTTTGTTGTTGTTGCTTTTCTTTTCATGTCTCCAGTGCTCTGTTTTGCAAGGAGCTGACGGCTATAGTCCCGGTCCAGCAAAGCACTCCAGTGTTGGCTGTACATCAGGCACAGTCATTTGTATTTAAAATGCTGTCCTTTGTGTGAGAAATAAAAGTCCTTTAGGTGCAAAAGATGGTGAATAGTGACAAAGAGCTTTATCTTTCAAATTGACACAGGTAAATCAATATGACCATTACTTAAAAAAATATACTAATACAAAGACTTGTATTAATATATATGATAAGCTGTATTCAATACAGATAATGTATAATCTGTGTGTACCCTTTGTCAATCTGTGGTCCATCCTTTTTGGTAGTGTGTAAAGCAAAATGCAGCCCTTTTTTCCTTGACCAGGCAAAGTTCCCTCTAGCTGCAACTGGAGCTGTAGCTGCAAAGAATTGCTGGTTAAACCATTTAGGTGAAAGAAAAAGCTTAGAATACTGTAGTCCTGTATTGTCCCTGGGAGTGGCAGAGGATGCTGCCCAGCAGCTCTGCTCTGGAGCAGTGCTGGGTCAGAGGTTCAGCAGCAGCTGCCTGCTTTGGGAGTGTATCGCTCACCAGTGTTACATTGCTCACTGCTGGCCCACGTCACGTTTGAGGTGTCCTTTCTATACCAAATACTGACCAAAATTTAAAAATTGACTTTCTGAAGTGGATTAAAAGGTCTGTGTTTCCACTGGAAGCTGTATTTCTGTATGTATAGTAAAACATCTAAAAAAGTGACATATCAAGTTACTTCAAAGTGCCAGGCAGTGGGAGCTACACACGGAAAAGAAACAGCACATTATCACTTGTCTAACTCTTGAGATACTCATGTATGTATTTCCCTGTTTCTTTTTAAAACTGAAATAAACTTTAATTTTAGACTTGAGTGTTTTAAGACTGACATTTTTGTAAGATGTAGGAGCTTTTAAGTATTGGCAGGAGAAGGGTTACTCGTGGGTCTGACTGATGGACAGACTTCAGGGTGGTGTCAAGCCCATGCTGTGGAAGTGCACATGGAAGATATCAAACACAGGACAAACACAGTTTACTGACTCTTCAGGTGAAAAAACGCAGCAGCTGTGTACATCCTCATACCAGCAGGTCTAGTGTGTACGTGTGTCTGGGAGGACCCCAGGAACAGCTGAAGCAGCTGTCCTGTTCAGCAGCTCCCAGCTGAAGAAGCTGTCTGGGAGTTGTGTAATTATCCCCTCCCTTGACACTTGTCTTGTGCCTGCTGCAGAGTGGAGCTTTCTGTGTTCCAGGGAGGCAACGGCAGCAAAGATGGGGCTACCCTTACCCTCAGTCTCAGTAGAGAAAAGGCTGGGAGCTGGGCAGGTGTGTGCTCTTTCCCATCACAAGCCCTTGTCCTTTGAGTCCTGACACCTGACCTGCCTCTGGCTCCTCCTTGGTTGCTCCCCGCTGGGGGTGACTGTGCTGGAAAGTGAGCAAACACTTGCTTTTACTTGTTGGGTGTTTTGTCTGTTGATTTGTGTAGTATGACACCGAAAATTCTAGTGATGATGGGGGCAGGGGGAAGAGTCACACAACTACTTTCACGCTTGCCTTATTCAAGTTACTTGATATTTGTGTATCATGACTGATGCGTAAGGGAAAGTGGAAAAAAATATCCCAGCGATGGTAACGTGTCCCTGATTCTGGCTACAGAGATGATTTACAAACTGGACAAAGTAATGAAAAGTGATATTTGATTAGAATGGGCTGGTTATTAATGTGATATGTCTCTGCAGCAACTAAGCTGCACATCTGCTTTCTCCAGGGCCAGCAGGAGAGCTGTGTAGACAAGGCTGCTCAGGTTTGTCCAACTGCAACAGGGTTCTGGGTGTGCATCACTTGCCACTGGGCAGCTCCTCTCCCTCTCCCTGCTGCCATCACCATGTTGTCTCTCTGTCACGGTTACACCCCAGTTCTTTAGAGCTGAGACTCACGACTGAGTTTAACTGGAAAGTACAAGTCATAGTGATAATTTAGTGCCATCTACTGTCTGCAGGTGGTTTACCTGATACGTCCAGGTTTGAGTGGAGGCATCCACTGGACCCTTCAGAGAAAGCAGGTGTGCGCACCTTGGAGAGGCTGCGTCTTGACCCACGACTGAGGTAGCTGCTCTTAACTGAAATAACAGAGAGCAGGAACATTCTGAGTAAGTTCTGCCGGCCGGGCGGCGTTGCTCCCGGGGCCGGGTTTCACCCGCCGGGCCAGCCGCGCCCCGGCTCTCCGGGCGGGCCCCCGAGGGGCGGGCCCGGCCGCGGCGCCGCCCCGCCCGCGCATGGCCGCGGTGCTGCGCGGCGCCCGCCGCTTCCCCGCGCCGCTGCGGGCGGCGTCGGGCCCGGCCATGGCGCAGCCCGGGGGCGGCGGGGGCTGGCTGGGCGCGCTGCGCTTCGACAACCTGGCTCTGCGCTCGCTGCCCGTGGACGCCTCGGAGGAGAGCGGCCCGCGGGCCGTGCCCGGCGCCTGCTTCGCCCGGGTGCGGCCCAGCCCGCTGCAGAGCCCGCGGCTCGTGGCCATGTCGCTGCCGGCGCTGGCGCTGCTGGGGCTGGAGGCGCCGGAGGCCGACCCGGCGGCGGCGGAGGCCGAGGCCGCGCTGTTCTTCAGCGGGAACCGGGTGCTGGCGGGCGCGGAGCCCGCGGCGCACTGCTACTGCGGCCACCAGTTCGGCAGCTTCGCGGGGCAGCTGGGCGACGGCGCCGCCATGTACCTGGGCGAGGTGCTGGGCCCGCGGGGCGAGCGCTGGGAGATGCAGCTGAAGGGCGCGGGCGTCACCCCCTTCTCCCGGTAAGGCCCGGGCGGGGCGGCTCGGCCCGGGGCGCCGTGCCGGGAGCACGGGGACCGACTGGCCGGCCGCAGATCGCGCTAGCGAGGCGCTGGTGCCGGGCTGAGGGTCATTCCTGAGGCAGAGGTCATCCCTGAAGCCCTCGTGGTTATTTGCTTTTTGTTTAACTTTGGCAGCAGCGAGTTGAACGCTTAAATGCCAGATCAGAAGGTGGGAAAATTTTCCGCTGGAAAGCAAGAGTGTAACTGCACCTCAGTGCATCGATACTTCTGTCCCTGGTTATCCTCCTGTGCGGGTCTCCCCCTTGGGGAGGATGCAGGCCATCCGCTTGCATTTCCCATATTTTCTGTTCCAGCCCTACAGTCTTGGTGGTAACACTTTAGTTTCATGTATGTGGTCCTCTGAAGGCTTTCTTCAGATCTATGAGGGTTAAGGAAATCTCAGTGAAAATCCCAGCTAATGGTGGTAGCTTTGTAGATCTGCCCTGGGCAGCTCTTCTGCTTGTCTGCGGCATTGGAAGTGCTGAGAGTGTGGGCTGAGAACCACCTGTATCTGTTCAATTTGTTTAGTGTCTGTTAAATAAGCTAGTTTGTTATCTGTTTAGGTGTTTGGATTTTTTTTAGTGCACCTGTTGTGCATGCTCATATTTAGGACCCCATTTCTGGATTGCTTATTCAGAAAGATTCAAAATGGTATTTTTCATCATATTTCATTTAACTGAAAGGAAGCCATTGACTTGATATACAGTATATAGCTATAGCTGTCCAAATTTTAAAATTTTTTGAAAGACTATTGCATCAATAAAATAAACATAGTTAGTGATTAGAAGGGATATGTGTACCTGGAAGGTTTATTCTGTTGTGTGTGCTCTTCATTGCAAATTGTTGTGTCCACCTAACTGAACTTTAACAGAAGTTTGAAGGTCCAGCCTTTCTTTTCACATCTACCACTACTTTTTTGTGGGACCATGGACAGAGTGTGCTACTTCTAGGCTTTTATTTCTCTGCTGCTACAGAGGAAACGGGAGTTCCTGCCTTTATAGCCTAAAAACTGTCCATGTCTTTTTGGTGCAGACAGGCTGATGGTCGGAAGGTCCTGCGGTCGAGCATCCGGGAATTCCTGTGCAGTGAGGCCATGTTTCACCTGGGAATACCAACAACACGGGCTGGCACCTGTGTCACATCTGACTCCAGAGTCGTTCGGGACATATTTTATGATGGGAATCCAAAAAATGAAAGGTGTACAGTTGTTCTGAGAATAGCCTCTACTTTTATAAGGTAGAAGCCTATTTTGTTGATCAGTTTTGTTTTGTTCTTTTTCCCTTTAAAAATAAGTAATCTTCTAAAGTGTATTTCCCTAACAGCACCGTTTGTGTGTTTCTTGTTCTGGAGGCTTGGAACTTCTTTTGCTGGGCTGTAGGAAGCTGCTTTGGTTGCTCAGCAAATGGGATGAGCTGCCGTCTTTGCACTGAGACAGATAAATGCTAGGGATGCTGGCCTGGTAGAAAGAGGAAGTAAGTTCTGCAGACTTAGGAGAAGAGATTTTTCATGTTTATTCCTCTACATTATTTTTTTAATAGTAGTAGTAGTGGTGAATTATACCTCTATCCTTAATTCCAGTTCTAACGTAGTTCTGTGAAAGTTTGGGTGTACTTTCCCTGCCTGAGAAGTGTATGAGGTTCCTGCTCCAGCAGAAGCTATTGGGCAGCAGAAGCTATTTCAGGAAGTTGCATTGCTTCCTATAAGGTTACAGAATGTTAGAGGAAGGCGAGGTATGAGGAATATATGTGTATATTAGTGTGCATTCCTCTGTGTTTACATATCTGGAAAATATAACTGGTATGCTTGATGTACATTCGAGTATTTAAAGTAAGTCCAACTTCTACATATTTTCAGGACAAAAAATTTTCAGTAGAAGGAGTTTTAAGAAACTTTAATGAGCTGGTGTTCAGTGCTGGCAGGGTTGGTCTGTTTAGTTACATGTGGATGTAGGAGCTTCCTTTCACCAAGTCACTGAGCCTCACCACGTTCAGTGTAGGAATCTTGCAGGTCTTTTCCCTCAGTCGCCTGAAGAATTGATGTTAAAAGATGATGGTGTTGTTACTGCAACAACAGTAAATGTTTTTATTATGTGCAATATCAAATTATGTTAATAGTTTCAGATAATTCTCAAACGTGTTTTTATTTTGAAACAGATTTGGCTCTTTTGAAATTTTTAAGCCCCCTGATGAATACACAGGACGCAAGGGTCCCAGCGTTAACCGGAATGACATTCGAATACAGATGCTTGATTATGTGATCAGCACTTTCTACCCTGAAATCCAGGAGGCTTATTCAGACAACACTGTTCAGAGGAATGCTGCTTTTTTCAAAGAGGTAAGGAAGATCAGATTCTCTTCTTAAATCCATACCAGTCATCTTTAGGAAGTCCATCTGCAAGCACAGATGACTGGAGTCAGTTAATACTTCATACCATTCTATTGTCTGAACTCTTCTTTGAGGAAAGCACTCTTAGTAGACCCACTTCTTGATGAAAGCAGTGTTGATATTGATCTAACCAGTGAAAACAGTGTAACCTTCCCCATGGTAAATCATGATTTCTCTGCTTTGGGAGAGCTTCCAAAGGCTTGTCTCTATTTTCAGGACTATCTTAGACTGTGAGAGGGGGTTCTGGCTCTGACTGTCCGATGATGAGTTGGTGGTGCTGAGACATCACCTGCAAGGCATAATTTTGTAAAATACCAAGATGCTGAGTCTCATTTTCCAAATTACAAACAGGAATGTTGTTTGCAAATCAGTTTAACTTCAGACTTTAGAATTGAAATGTTTCAAGGCAGTTGAGCATTTTTATAAGTAGCTGGCAAACAATAGCAGTGTCTAATACTTCACTAGTCTATCTGAAAGCTGTTGTGGTGCTTTGAAATCTGAAATGATCTGGTATGGACTCAGGGAATGGCTGCAGCATGATGCACTTCTGTAACAGACCAGTAAGAGGTCAGAAGCCAGACTTGATAGCTGACATTCTGTGGTTTGGTTTCTTGCCCTTTTTTTTTTCTTTACCACAACCTGTGCATACTTGCATTAATTCTTCAAAGCAAGCTGTGGCTTGGTTCACCACTGTGTTCCAAAGAGTTTAACTCTGCTGGACAAGTCCTTTGTGTGTGAACAATTTGGGTTGATGAGGAGAGCTGTAGCTTGTCACTCTGTTGTGTCCAGCTCTGTAGCTGATGGCATGTTTGCTCCCTAGTGGCAGAAACGTCACAGGAATTGGAGATCTTTGTGGATGTGTGTGCCTCTTTTTGCCTTTGGCTGCTTTTCCTGGCCCAGTTGCTGCTGGATTCCTTCTCCTTCCCCCCACCCCTATTCCTGGCATCCTTTTCTTGTTTCCCCAGATCTGTTTTTCTTTGTTGTGCTCCTCATGCCACTGCCTGTCCACACTCCATGTTTGTGCTATCATTGCCTCCTTATGTTTTCTCTCATCCTTAGTGGAGACTTTTTAGACTTTTCTCCTTTTGAAAATCACTCCAGTCCATTTTTTCTTGAACAAAGACATCCATTTGCAGGGAACTGCTGTTACTTCAACTCTATCTTGTTTTATTATTCTTTCTGCACTGTGGAGGAAATGGAGAGAAAAAAGTACAGGTGACAGCATTTCACAGCACTGTCTAGAAAGCAGACATCATTATCTGTACTTCTCAAATAATTTGTAGCTGTTGTTTGAATTTAAATTAGTATGGCCTTCAGCTGACAGTCTTATTTATATATACACCATACTTTCCTTCTAGTTTGGCTAGCTGTAGAAAAAGGTTGATAAAAAGTAATAAGGTCAAAGAAGATACAGGGCTTTCTCTTCCTTATCAAGATACCCATCTTTGAGTGGCACCCAAAGTTGTTTCTGGGCACTCTCATCAGGGGGATTACTTTTCACCAGAACCCTGGTGGTGTGTGATGCATCCTTACAAGGACTGTCTTACCACTGGAGTGCTTTAATCCCAGCCCTGGGCCAGGACTTTTTCATTTTTAAATTTTACATTTTCCTGGCATAGAGCCATTGTGCAGGGTGTGCCTCTCTTCCTGGGTCATGGTCTAGGTAATCAGTTCTGGACACATGTAGCTAGCTGCTGGCTTCCAGCTGCCCCATGAATCAGCATCAGGAAAAATGTGTAAAGTACCTACCATGAGAATGTTGGAAAAATTAGCAGTGTGGGATCTCAAGGTAGACCAAAAGATTGTGCTCCATGCATTATTTGTGTAATTTTAATTCTTTACTTGACTGCATATGTTTTTTAAAAAAAAAGGTAGGAAAATTCTGGATTGGAACACAAAACAAATAATTAATTAAACA